GATTAAGGTTACCGCGTATTCATTTCCTTGCTCAGATTTGGGTAGTGGACCGATCATATCCACAATAAACCTGTCTAAAGCCATTAGTGAGGTCTCAGTTATTGTTATTGGAGTTTTGAAATGCTTAGTCGTGTTTAACCTTTGGAATTTTGAAAATTTGAAATTTGTAATTTCTCGTGTCATATTTTTTCAAAATTAATGCCTTTTTATTTTTGTAATGCTCTAGCTATACCCGTATAACCTCCTTGAATGGGATCGTCATGGAATGTAAACAGTCTTCTTTCCCTTTTCGTTATTTAATAAAAGGGTCACCTGCTTGAGTAGCGCTTCTTTTATTTTTTTTAGTATTTTATTGTCCATTAATTTAAAAGATTCTATTGAATTTGTTTCAAAGTATACCAGCTTGCTTTTCAAGCCTTTGGAGGAACTGACCAAAGTCGATAATTCCCTTGGTGTACATATTGCTAACATCAATTCATCCTTTAACTTTTTTCCATGTTTCGTACCTGATCATTTACAATAACTTCGTATACGTTGGGCTGAGAAGCTTTACTAAAATAATGCCCAAGCAAATCTACTTGATCTTTTCCTGCGCAGGAACTTTTCTATTTACTTTGGATTCTGGTAGTGACTTTAAAGATTGTTGTTGTCATGTCCTTTAGATCTATGGCTATTCTTGATAGCTCACCAGCTACATAATTGTATTTGTCTTAACAATTCGTTCAATAAGTCTTCCTACTAACATATTAAAACTCATTTTTTCAGTAAAATTCCTTTTTATTCATCAACATAGTTCTCTTTTAGGACGATTCAATAAACTTTTCTATACCACTTTTATGAAACGATTTGTCGTGGCATTTAAAATATGAATTAGTTTTGGCGATTGCTGTTCGAGTCAAACTTCTTAACACAGATCATCTTTTTGAGTTCTGCGGCGTACTAGTAGACGGAGGGGGCCAGACTTGGAGAATACAGTAAGTACGGCAGCAATTCTTAGCCCAATTCATGAATTTAATACACAAATTTTTCTACATTTTCTGGTATAACTGCTTCATTTCGCCGCCCAACGCGCTCCGCTTTACTGGTGTCTATACGACATCTTTTAAGCTCAGCCTACCAATAACAAATGGTTGATTTTGTTGTTTCAAAGCCCGAGTAATGTTTTTCAAGCCATTCCTGTAACAACAGTGATTTTTATACCCTTGCAGATGGTATTATAATTTCAGTCAGAAGTTTGCAACGCAGTGAAGGAGACATTTCCGACCCTACAAAGTATATATATTCTTGGTCAGCATCACTAGGAGAGTCTATCTAGCCATGTCCGTCTGTCCGTCCGTTTCTACGCAAACAAGTCTCTCAGTTTTAAAGCTATCTTCATGAAATTTTCCCAAAAGCTGTCCTTTTAATGCAGGTAGTATATAAGTCGGAACGACCAAATCGGACGACTATGGCGTATAGCTCTAATAGAAACAATCGGAAAAATAAATAAAAAACAATTATAACTTTGCTGTTTTAACATTGTTTTTTTAGTTCTTCGATATAAAGTAATTTTTTTGTTCTTTGACATATAGTAATGGTTTAATATATCAGAATAACGGTTAAAATTTGTTTAAACAATAAAAATACATCATAACCTCAAAATAAGTAAATCATAATTTTAACGTTTTCAAGAATATTTAATTTGCAATAGCTGCAAGGGTATATAAACTTCTACTTGCCGAAGATTGCTTTCTTTCTTGTTTTTCATTAAAAATCAATGATGAATGTGTTTAACACGAAATTGCTTCGGGTTCATTTTTTTGAAAACCACAAAAGTAGCGTCACTGTAACTTGTAAACGACTGGTTGGATTGTCATGTTATTTTCACAGTATGCCTAAAAAGGTTGCATATTTGAATGGCATATGGATTTGATTTATGTAAGTTGGGAGACTTTTTGAACAACGTAGTAAGATACTCCACCGTGAACTCATATTCTTTTACACCAAGCCTCATTCTTGTTAACTTTTAACTTGGGTTTACCCAAGTTAAGCTACTGGTAAGTAGAGTCCATTATAAATTTAGCTTAAAACTGCTCTGCTCTGCTATGCAACATTCTTTGCTGAATTCAGGGTATTGTATTAAGGTTGGTATTGTAGTCGAAGGCAATCTACTGGAAATCAGTTGTCCATTTGAATTTTACATTCTTTTTACATAATTTTGTTATTATGACGTGAATAGTAGTAGCGAATGCGTAGGGACTGCGCATCATATATTTGGAGTCATCAGGCAATATACTTTTATCGGAGAATTTATGTCCAAGAAAAGTGACTTCGCTTAAATGAACACTTTTCTGGTTTCAACTTGAGGTTGTTTTTTCTGCACAGATCAAAAACAATTGTTAGATTTTTAGTCGAATGTTGTTCAGAATAGCCTATGACAATTATGTTTCCAATTATAAAAATTTCTTTGATTTCTCTGGCAATGATTTCTTTGGTACTAGCAATAATAGACTATTATATTCAGATACAGATTGTTCCACTATCTTATCTTCTACCAGATTGTTTACTTGCTTACCAATTTCGTCTTGTTGAGAATGAGCGCTTAAGTTTTTGATGTTAGTCGGCTCATCGATTTTTTATCTTAATCTTTGTTTATAAAATTTGTTTGTTGAGATTGGGTCCGATTCCAACCCAAATAAGTCTGTATAAATTAAACACAAGTCGAGAAGGGTTTTCTTATTCTGGTGTAAAATTCTATTTTAGTTTTGAAATGATTATTATTATTTAAATTGAAAATGATATAGGTATTTAATGGTTCAAATTTTAATTTGTTTATATTGAGATTTTTTGTACTTTCGGTTGTATTTAAAATTTGTATGTATGCGAATTTCAAAATTTGAATTTGAATTTCAATATGCGTACCGTCCTTTTTTTGGTTAGGAATTAAAATTTGTTCACCTCTTTTTTTTATTTTTTTTTAATTACTTCCCATCGGGATAGATCAACTTTTTCATCATTTGTTGTATTTTGAAAGATTTAAATTTTTATAGCTTGATTAATATTGTCTTAAAATCTACAAGTCACATTTCGTAGTGAAATTCAGTTGACAATTGAATTTTTCATTGAAATCTATACCTATTATTCCGTCTCCTTCTAAAATTTTTTACCGCCCCCTAATTCAAGAAATGAGAAGCCCATTGAACTACTTAAACCTTTTCCTATTCCCGTTATCTGTGTGATTTTATTTTGATCAATATCCAAAAAATCATAAAAGTTTTTTTTAATAACAGAAATGTTAGTTCCAGTATCAATTAAAAAGGTGGTCATTTTATAAATTAAGAAAGATGTTTAGATTAAGATTAATAGATTGAATGAATTTAAGGCTTGTGTATGACGGACATTGTTATGATTTTCTCTGTTATTGTTTGAATTGTTGCTGTTTCCTTTTTAGTTTTTAATAACTCTACCATTATTGTTATAATTATAATTGTTTCTATTGTTGTTAATATAATTTCTGATATGACAACTATCTACCGCTATAGTTGTTTCCTCGGTTCCTTCTTTGACTGTATTGGACAGTACTGGAATTACCTGTCATTCCTATACTGCAGTGTATTTGTTACAGCTTCATTTATAGTCTTAAACATACCTGCCTCCAAGATGGTTTTAATATTCCCGTGCTCGCAGTTTTTGACTATGGTTGTTTTTTCTTCTTTCGTGCTAAAAGTGTCCGCGTGATCAGCACTCGATAACTCAGCACTCTAATAACTTACGGAAATTATATACTTCGCTTGTAAATTGCGTAGCTGTTATACCTTTTTGATTAACATTAGCCAATTTAGCTTTTAGTATGTCTGATGTTTTACCGACAATTTTAGCCTGCAATTTCATGATAATTCCATCGATGGTAGTCTCGTCTTCGTAAGTGTTTGTAAGTGCCTTTTGTGAGATTTACCAGTTAAATTGCCATAAAGAATCTTTACAGATGGATTTTCTTTAAAAGATTTTACAATTTGGTATGGTCCTTAGAACTATTGCTTTCTGTGTTTTAGAGCAGGGTATTAATGGGGAATGCGATATAAAATATTATATTTTTCCATATAATTGTTTTAAAGTTCATTGAGAATTGGGGATCCCTTTCGAAAGTTTCTCGACTTACATTTTCTGTGTCATTTTCCGATTATCTTCTCCGTTTATCTGAATGTGATTGGGACAGGGTTGAGTTGTTGGGTCTTGGTTTTAATTGTTGTAATTTTTGGAGGATATCCAGTTTACATTTTTACTTGCGATTTTCCATCTGGTTTCTGCTATTACTTTTATCGCTTTTTTCCTGAGAGCACCAGTTTTTTTTTCGTTTCCTTTTTTTTATAGTTCATTTTTTTTTCTAAAAGAAGAGATAAACAAATACAGTAAGAAATATACAGACAGACTTCACAATCTTGTAAATAATTTAGCCCTAGGTCTAGTAGACAATAGCTTAACATTCAGGAGACTCAAAAGATTCCACATTCTTGATCTTCCTGATAGGTAAATTTAAGTAAACGAGAAATTAAATTAATAGCAGATTTCACTGGAAATCTGCTATTTCTGTTATGTAAGTATAATTCATTAGACAGATTGTAAATAAAAATTAAATAAAAAAAAAAAGAAATTCTTCTTTTTTGGTTTCTGTATTCCTAACGCATTTAACACATGTCATGTCACGGTCGCAATGAATTAACCGAGTTATTTAATTAAACTAAACGCATCCAATTAAAAATAAGGAGAGAGAGAAGCATTAGCATTTGGGTCAAATTGTTGCTGTCGCAGCTATTCGCTCGCTAAAGGCGTGCACGGTCAATTTACATTTGCACTTGGTGATCCTGCAGGTTTGGCAATAACATTGTTGCCCAGACTACAGTGTGCACACTACAGTAGGTTTTGAGTTATTATTATATATTTATTTAACAGGTATTTTGCATTTAAATTTAAATTTGGTAACTTTAAAAAACATTTATTAATCTTCGTCAAATTTTTTTTAGTTGGTTCCCAGCTCCTGGAAAATTAAAGCATTTAGCTACAGTTAATCTTACTCACACACTGGAAATATTCGGAAGGTTTAACTGTTTTCGGATGGATGTTTCTGGCAAACAGGTTAGTTATTTTAATTTATTTTGTTATTTTGCTTTGACCAATTTATTTTTCAAGATCGGACCGTCATACGTATGCCTTGAAATTAATTCATTTACATTTGGAAAAATTAAAATTATTCAAGTAATTACACCAATCGAGCCGTTATTGCAAAAAGTAATTCATCGGTTTTATGGCCCCCGTTGGTTAGCGCCTCTTATGAAAATATTTATTTGTGGGGAGAGTCTCATGGTAAATAAAATATTTCGGCACAACACTATAATTTTTTTTCGTTTAATTTGTTTTTTTTTTCATTTTAGTTTGAACGCGATATAAATGTATGGAACTATAAGGTGTTTAAACGGAATCCCATTTTAGCTAAAGAAGATTCATCGATAAAACAGTTTAGATTATGGTTCTCACAATTCTATACATCTAACAGCAAGTCATATTCGGAAGTAGCTAATGTTGGCTGGTAGTTTTTTATATAAAACTAATCTGCATTTTTTCTTTTTTTCTTCAAAAACTAATTGAAGTAAATTTATAATCATTTATAATAAAACTCAAAATAATAGTTTATTTTTAACTTTTATATATTAACATGCCTGCCGTTCTTCAGCTTAGATCGGGTCTATACTTAAATCTATGTTTAACTTTATTTTCCTTCCTTTCCTTGCCTTCAAGCCTGTCCGTTCATATTTTCAAAAACGGATATGTACTTTTTATATGATTTTTGTCCTCTTTGTCCTTCGCCCACGGACAGATTCTACCCAAGGACAAGGAAGGATATGAGATGACGAAGGATTACTAGGATGTGTAGGATAACCTTGATCATAATTATGTAAGAGAGTGACTAGAGTGAAGTGTGTAACATGGATTGGAAACAAATAAATATATAGAACAAAGTACAACTGATAACATAGCAATAATTAAACGAATAAAAGATAAATAAAATAAATGCAACGAGGTAGTACAAGAAGTTAAATTGGAAATTTTACATTTAATTGAAGTAATGGTTGATCATGTGAAGAGTGGAAAAAGTTCGATTAAAACTACCGAAACAATCGGTTATCGACGGTTCAAGGTTGCACCGAGCGGTTCGATCCGGGTGAGCGGGTCGATGGTTCGATGCACTCCGAGCGGTTCGGTTGAGCGAACAATCTTCGGCGGGTAGCGACGGGCGGTTGTGTTGCAGGTAGTTCTGAACAAGCGGCTCGATCGTGCGTAGATTTTACACAGACGTTGGCGAACGAATGGTTGCCGACAGTTTGAAGTCGCGGCGATGGTTCGAGCGAGGTGCTCCTTTGCTGTCGTCGGTAGTCGGGCGGTTTTAGATAGCTCGGGTCGCGTGGACGTCAGAGTGCAACAAGTCCGAACTATTACAGAGTAGAGAATTAAGTGTTTCGATTGGTTCGAAGACTGTAGAACGTCTATACAGTGGATTATACGTTCGATGGCCAAGAACGATAGAATAATAGCCATTCGCACAGAGGGCAGCTGCTTAGCATAAAAATAGGGCAGTTCAGCATTGATTAATTGAATATCCATTGTCAGTTAGGCTTTCATTTGTATAGGCGGCGAACTGTAGAGCACAGGTCGGCCGCTGAGCCAGACCTCCAAATAATAAATATTATATATCCAATAACATGTATTAGGCGGCGCGCTGCAACGCAAAGAACTGTCGTTTAGCATGGGGATGGAAATTAATGGAATTAAAAGTAATGCAAGAAACGAAAAGTAATGATGCTCCTTTTTGTGTCTTGCATACAAACAACAGATGAGTCCCTGCGATAAAATTTGGATTAAATCTTTAATTTTATTAAGAAACGCTAATGTTATGAAAAAAATTACCAAATATTAGCAATGACTGTCTGCAATTGCTTGTGAAGCAGTATCGTACAGCTGATCGACTAGCTTCAGCATGCTAGGAAAAAAATATAAGAAGAAGTGTGAGGAGTCTTAAAACTCCCCACAAATCCCAAAGTAGGAGAGCTGCATAGCAACAGCGAAGAAGGAGAGAATACCAGAGGAGTCAAGGGCAACAAGGTCAAACTTTAAACAACGGACCTTGGACACGGGCAAAGCGGAGACACCGTGAATTAACGGTACCACGCTAGACATTGGACCATCCCAAGGCAAGGGCAACAAGGTCGAACGTTGAATTGGAGGACTTTGGACTTGCACAAAGAGGACGGACCGTGAACTAACTGTGCGGCAGTGGACCTTGGACCCGATCACGCGAGCTGAAGAAGATGAATAACGGCACCATCACCGGCTAGGGTGCTAGGTTGTGGTACAACCGAGCTCAGGTAGTACTTGCGTGGAGTCTGCGATAAAGGTGGCTGGGCGAAGAGGTCGAACCTAGTTCTACCTGCTAGGCGAAACACCTTGCCGGTCCCGACAGTGAGGTTCGCATAACATCCAGAGTCTCGAAGGAGCCGTCACGAGTCAGATACCAGCAAGCAGTCGACGACGAGGAGCGACGCCGCACAACTCTTGCGTTATTCTTTGGTCAAAGGCAATCACCCAATATAAATTTAGTGGAACGATCCCACAACCTGTCTGAGCTAGCCGCCCGTTTACGTAGCGAGCTTAGGTTGTTACATCTGGCGCCCATGAGTGATTGCCCTGATCAAGAAAACAAAAGATCCAAGATGGAAAGTCCTGTATTTATAATCTCAGGAAAGAGGACTTCGCCGAGGTGAGCAATGTTCTGGGAATAGAACTTGAGGGCTCGGTAGAGGCGATGAGGAAGACCCTGGCAGAGACGATTGACCGTATAGCAGAAGTCCCGGTCGTGGCAGAGATGGTGTCACGTTTGGAGATCAAATTCCGGATGCTGCCGGTCCCAAAATTTGAATTAACTACTTCGAAATTCGAAGGTCTGGATATTTAGAGCATGGCAACCGACGGCAAGCAGCGAGAAGGCAGCCGAGAGAGGAGAGAAATCGTACGGGCACATCTGCAGGACTACGCCAAGGTTGCCAAGCAAGTCCGAGAGTGGAACTTTCGGTATGACGGCAACGATAAGCCACTGGAGTTCCTGGAGCAGGTGGAGAGGTCAGCCGTGACATACGGTCTGGATATAAGCCAGATCCCACGAGCAATGCCGGAGCTGCTGCAGGGCAAAACCCTAAAGTGGTTCATAGCCAACAACCGGCAGTGGGACAACTGAGGTGCTGGACGAGCAATGGGAGATGTTGGAGCTGGAGAACATCTCCCAAAGAAGAGCCACCTAGTGCCAAAGCCAAGGGCAGAGCAGGGTGCGGTGCCAGGAGGACACGGACGCGCCACGGAGGTATACGCCGCAGGACCACGGACCACCAGCCGATCGCAGTGGATTTATCCAGAATCCAGCCAACGTTTATCGGAGATGCGGGGGCGCAGACCATTGGACGAAGGAGTGCCGAAATCGGCGACTCACGTTCTGCTGGCGATTCGGGAATATAGGTGCCCGAACGGTGGAGTGCTCAACGATCCCAGCCTCCGAGGGGCGGCCAGGGATCTTAACTGGCTGCCTCTCGAAAATAATGGGCGACCTGAAAGCGGAAGAAATTCAACTGTCCATCACAGTGCTTATAGGAGACGCAAATGTGAAGGCCACGGTGGTCACAGGCGCCACAGCGAGCTTCATCAGCAAAGAGCTGGCGGACAGGCTGCAGGCGGCAGGAAAGGTTAGACCCACAAAGAGGCAGGTACGGATGGCGGTAGATGCGGAACCTACCAGAATTGATCGAACCACTGGTGCTACGATGGAACTTTCTCACCAAAATTGGAGCCGAGTTGAAGTGCGCAGGTTACAGCGCTGTGATACCGGCGAGGGACAGACAGCGAGGATGGCTGGAGGAAAAACTGTCGGTAGCAGTCGTGGAATCCCCGAAGGGATTTTCGGGAAAGGATGTGGACCAGTTTTTAAAGAACGTGTTGGAGAGCCTGGAAGAATGATCAGCCGGTTAAAAAGCGGTACTATCCGAAAAATCCAAAAATGCAGGGCGAAATCAACGCCAAAGTAGACGATCTACTTAAAAGGGCTGCATCGAGCCGCCAAGGAAGTCCGTTCAGCTCACCAATAGTCATAGTGAGGAAGAAGACCGGGAAATGGAGGCTGTGTGTGGATTTAAGGCAGATTAACCCAAAATCCGTGAACGATGCATATCCAATGCCTATGATCAACTATATCCTGCTCCGTTGGAGGCAGCCAGCAGGCAGAACACCGCATTTACAGTGCCAGAGAAAGGCCTGTTCCAATGCAAAGTTATGCCTTTTGGTTTACAATCGGCATCAGCAACATTCCAGCGGGCGTTGGACCAGGTAATATGACCCGAAATTATGCCGCACGCTTCGCGTATCGGGATAATATAATCGTCATCGGACGGACGCTAGAAGAGCACATGCGTAACCTAAAGGAAGTATATAGAAGACTGCGAGCGGCGAACCTGAAAGAAAACGTTGAAAAGTGTAAATTCTTCGGGAAGGAACTTCAATACTTAGGGCATCGCACTACAGACCAGGGAATCGGGACGGATCCGGAGAAGGTATCGGCGATAGGGTGGCTAAAACCACCAGCAACTCTCAAAGAAGTGCGGCATTATTTGGGAGTGGCGTCGTGGTACACGCTTTTTGTACCAGATTTTGCCACGCTAGTGCATCCGCTGAACGCCCGAACTCCGAAAGAGTGTCAAATGGGAATGGACCGACGACCACCAGCAGGCCTTTGAAGCTGTCAAGGCGAGGTTGGTCGCCGACCCAATTTTGGCATGCCCGGATTCCACAAAACCGTTTGTGCTGCAGACCGATGCGAGCGATTATGGGTGTTATTCTCACTAAAAATTCTATTCCAGCCGGACCTTTTCTCGACCACTGAAAAAGAATGTTTAGCAATTGTGTGGGCCATAAAGAAATTAAAGCCATACCTAAAGAGATACCACTTCAAAGTGATAACAGATCATATGGCCCTAAAGTGGTTGAATAGCATCGACAGCCCAACAATACGACTTCGAAATCGCATACTGGAAAGGCCAGCTGAATACTGTGGCGGACGCACTGTTCCGGCAGCACTTGCCTGAAACCTGCCGGATGAAGACGAAGTCACCAGGTCAACCGGCCGAATGTAGCTGGATAAGGGGCATGAGGGGCAAGATAGCTCAGAGCCCCCAAAAATATCCGGACTACTTGGTGGAGGTCGTACGGTTGTACCGGCACATTACTCACATAGCGGGAAACGAGGATGTTATCGCATGCAAGCTATGCGTACCAATCGGATCAAGTCAGCGAGTCATTGCTCATTGAATCACGATATGCCGACGTCCGGAGACATGGGCAGCCGGAAGACAATCGCGAAAGTGGCAGCGAGGTATCATTGACCGGGCATGCACAGCGACATCAGGAAGTATGTGCGGAACTGTGAGAGCTGCCTTAGATACAAGCCCAGTCAGCTTCAGGCGGCCAGAAAAATGCCCTCGACCACAGTATGCGCCGATTGCGTTGGGCTGCTTCCTCGGTCGAAGCACGAGAACTCGATGCTACTAATGCTCGTAGATCGGTTCTCGAAGTGGGCGGAAACAGTGCTAATGCGTAGGGCTACCACCGAGGCGTTTGAAAAGACAATCCGGGAAAGGATATTCTCTAGGTACGGCGTGCCGAAGGTCTTGATCACCGATAACGGGGTGCAATTCACGAGCAGGGCGTTCAAGCGGTCCTTGACAGAGTTGGGCGTGCGGCACCAGTTCACAGCCCCGTACACGTCACATAAAAATCCCACGGAGAGGGCCAATAGAACTGTAAAAACAATGATCGCCCAGTTTGCCGGACAAGACCAGAGAACGTGGGATGAGAAATGGCCAGAATTGCAGCTGGCCGTGAACACTAGTGTAGCCGAGTCCACAGGGTATTGACCGGCATTCGTCACGCAGGGTACATAGCCCAGGTTACCGAGCGCGTTGTTTGATGAAGAAACCACCGGCACAGGA